GTGAAACTTCGCACCAGACCTCGCTTGCCGTGGAGTCTTTGTGGCTCAGAGGTAGAGCATTGGAGCGCGGATATCCGAAGGTTAGAGGTTCAATTCCTCATGGGAACTCAGAATTTTTTCTATGTGCCACGCTTGTGACAAGACGGAAAAACGTCTCTCGTTATATCATTATTACGCTCCCAGACAAAATTAGTTGGGACACTTCACCAGAGCAACGTCTATGAAGTTTTTTCACCCTCTCCCCCATTCAAATGTTGCTGATTGCAAAAGTTTCTATGCCATCTAGCAGACCAATACTGAGAGGGGTGCACCAATTTCTTCTTTTGCGAAAACGAACGAAGCAGATAAAATTGACGATTTCCGTCATGAGTGGCTACGTGAGCATCGTGCGCGCTCGGACTAGCAAGCCATAATCAAACCGTGTTATGATAATATGGCCTGGGGAGAGGTGCAACAGGGCCGGGGAAAAGCGAACAGAACCAACGCTTCTAGATGTAAGATAATATTTCAGGACATCAGACCTGCGGAAGAGTATAGTAAGATTTTTATCCAATCAAAAACGTCCGATAAGAGAGAGAGAAAGCATTTGGCGGGGACACTTGGAGGGTCCACGTAGGTGGCCCATCAAGCGTTGCGGCCACTATTTTTTACTACAACAAGGGAACTTATGAAGCTCTGTTTCTTTTTATGAAGCCTGGTATCTATCAGCTGTCAATTTCTCTGGATTAGTCTATGCGATGGATTCGAGGACCCTCCACGTGACTGGTTCATTAAAAGGGACGCTCAAGGGAAATATCAGAAGGAAGGTCTTTTAGGCTCTCTAGATGATTACTTGGTAAAGCCCCTTCAAGGCGGAAGACTTTTTGAGATAAGCGTAACAACAGAAGGGATTAACCTATCATCAGCTGGTAGGTGACTTGGGAGCCGTTGCAGGGAACGCTTTGTAAAGTAAATGTGTCGCTTAAAGCGCTTTTCGACTGATTTTCGTGAAACCAGAAGTGAGGTAATTACAACAACCAATTAGATAAAGCGAAAATTTCAAGAGCAGCCAATGAAAGCACAATGCAAAAACAAGTAAACGACTAAAATTCACGCTGCAAAATAAGGAGCGAAATAACTAATGTAGGTTATTGCGAGACAAAAGAAAGGTAAAACCCAGGGAAATCTTTAAAACCTCGAAACACGGTAAATTATCAGCCAAATATGTGTAAAACATAGTTAAATGACAGCCAAACAGATGAACGAATTTCAACTTCAAGACAATAATTAAAATCGCTTCCGCCGCGCCAAAAATATTTCCACAGCTATCAATCGATGGGACCGTCGTTATCGTCAGTTTTAAGAGTTCGAAGCCCTTTTATTTTCAGTTGAGTATTCTTTCACATTGTTGCGGCAAACGAACATCAAGGCTCGATGAAGTGCCAAGAAAATCGCGACCGGAGAAAAATGCCAACCAATCCAGGGGATATGTTACAGGGACTTTAATCAATCTCGTAAACTGTAAGCGAATTAAAAAAGGGACTTATATAATAGATTGTATTCAATTAAACACGTGGCGACTTAACAGCGTAAATGAATCTAGCATAATAAAGGAACTAATAAATGAACCAAATGCTACAGCAAACACAAAATATATATACAAATAAAGACGAAAGAGCTTGCTCGAAACGAGATAAACAACAAAACAAGCGAAAACAACTTACATATCAGTCCCTATACGCCGGTGGCTTGAAATCAAACTTTATAAATTAACTTTGTATACACGCCGAACATGAACAGAGTATAAGTACCTTTCAAGTGCGTGAAATAAGCCACATTGAGAAGCTCACCATTTTTCGCTTGCGTAATGTCAGCCGAAAAGAATGTGGTATGAATGTCGTGTCCGATGTGGAATAGGCCCCTTAATCAGCATTCTTCTCAGCTGAATTCACTGGCAATCTAAGTTCCCCTGATTTGACCAGTGGTATGTGTTCGTGACAGCCGTCTTCGAAGCCGAAACGGAGCATAAGGCCGACGACTTTAAAGAGTAAAATCTCCCCTATGACTACGATGGAAAAGCGTCCATTTTGGCCATACAGCTACATCCTTTGGAAAGTGGTGTATGGAAATACCCGGTGTGGGTCTATTATTCTTTTATCTAACCTCATTTGGCGCAACGTCCGTTCGTCGTCTCCTCTTCATTTCTCCCTTCTGCGACAAAGTTTCTGCACAGTTTTCTATGTCACAGCTACGTAACATGATCGTTTTGGCCGCGCGCTAAATGAGGACACTTTTTGTTGGCCAAATTGCACTTTTAATGCGCAAAAAAATGGTCAAGGAGAACTCACTAAGGTCGATAATTTCAAATTTTTAATACAGTTATTAACCAGAAAACGCAAAACAAAAACAAACAAAAAAAACAAGGCACTTTATATCTCTTCCATTAATTCCTTTTCCTTTCATTTTTATTGTTTAAAGGCTGGGGAACCTGTGGTACAGAGCCAGGTTTTAATTCACTCTTCCCTCATCCTTTTTCTTGCTTTTCCCACTCTTACCTCTCTCTCAGAAATAAACAACCGAGGAGGGGAGGGGGTGGGGAAAGTTTGAACACCTGGGTAACCTGTTGCTATGGTCAATATCTTTTCTCTCTTTTCTCTTTTCTTTCTCATTTTTAACTCGTGCAAAAGAGTTTTTATGAGGACTCAGATATGCAAATGAGTCACTCACTCACTAAGATGTAGACACTGGTAATTAGTCGTCCCGAACTCGCTCGAACACGAAACCACATTGGAGTAGTAACCGCACGTGACGTTAGTAAGGCTTTGTTACATATTAAGCATCGTTGCTTTAGATATAACCTTGCATGTGAAAAAAATTTTATCGAGTTCAGGCACAAACCAACTACTGTGAATCGCTTCGCTTGTTTATGATCTGATGTCAAACATGAACCGTGATTAAATTCAATTATCTTATGTAAGCTGAGCATTGGCGACTGAATCGGTCGGAAGCGGACGAAAATAATCCTGTGCTTTTCTGACAAAAGAAAACTTGTGGAATTCACTACCGCATATGTTTATTTTCAATCAGACAAAAGTATTGCGATCGCCTAAAATGCCTTCTGAGGTAATTTGTTCCGAGGCAGAAAACTTAAAGAGTTTTGTTATCAGATGCACGTGGGAGTCAACTCTTTAACTCCCATGAGTAACCAAGACAGAATTTCTCCTTACAATATCAATACAATATCAACCAGATAAGTGATGAGAATAAAGAGAAATATCAATTTGGGGATAATTAGTTGATTCAATACTAAATTCTCTGAACGAACATCATAAGAATTCTATGTTTGACAGTAGGAGAATTACAAATTTGATCTGGGAGTTAGAGGATTAAGGCTGTAAACAAAGACTGTTGCGCTGCAATTCAACCATTTCTTGAGCAGCTGAGGTAGAACGTGACATATGAATGGAAAATAGCAAAATTTGGCTTGTGCAGGCGAAGAAGGACTTGGATTGCAGCATCTAAATTTGACAAATTTTGCGAACAGAAATTCGATAAACGCAGGATACTATTTTGTGCTGTTTTTGAAGACTACATGTGCGTTTTTTTTCTCAGCGGATTTGAATGGTTACCATTCTGGATCTAATTCTGGATCTCTCTGTGACTTTCCGTAAGCTTGGCTTTTGGGATAGGAGCAACCTTGCATTGCCACAATAAATTTAATTACAGGTTCACAGCCATGTTTCATCTCCAGATGAAGAACTCTTTGCACGAGTTGGCCATAGGTATTCTCTGATTTCAGTTAGCAAGACAACTCACTCTTTCACCCAGTTTTTCTGTGTAAGCAGATAAAACGCAACTCCCAAAACATCCAAATCGCATCGACCATGGGTCAGTTTACAAGATATATCAAACGAAAAAAGGGAATTGAAGCAAGGAAGCAGAAGGCTGAGGAACATCGTAATCAAACGGACTTTCTGGAAGAACGCAAAAAAAATATACACATCAATAAAAAATAGAGGAGGAAAACTGAAATTCTATTGAAAGTACCTTTATTTATCTCAGTTACGTCTTAAGAAATACATAAATGGTTCAAGTAAACTTACCCTTACAAAATTAAAAAATATCTTGTGACAACTTTCCCAAAAAAAGTTCACTTCGGAAAATAAATTGTTCTTCACAGCCTACAACAAAGTCTCGTGTGGTCATCATAAAGAGTCTTACCATACAACATGGCTACAACTCTATTAATTAACTCTTTGCACCCTAAGAATTATCAACTTCCAATTTCTCACAGGACTTAAAAGTGTCAGCACATTATCACACTAAAGTAAGTTTATGAGAATCAAGTAACTGATCACCAAAGAATAATTACTCTAACTTTTAACCAATTATGACAGTCCCTCTCAAGAAAAACGTATCAAGAAAAGCGGATCAGCTTAGATTACAGCAGACTTTGTTAAACGATTAACAATGACCGTATATGGCTACTTTGGAACAATGGCGGAAACAACTTTAAAATACACGCGGGATTTTTCAAAATTTCCGATTCTCATTCGTGCGGCAGATTTATGTTTCTGGTAGATTTTTTAGGATGCAAATCTACATCTACATTTACATCTGATTTTCAACTACAGCAAAATCCGAGGCGGTCCAATGTTTGCAAATTATCCTCATGTGGATAATCTGGTGGTTTACACGCACGCGCGTTACAGCTGAAGCATAATTTCTTTTAACAGCTTTATCCATTAAACGTGACAAGGTGAAAGCTGTATAGATAAGATTGTAATAAAGTGTAACGGTCTCTAAACTAAACGTACACGCTTTTATAAAAGCTCTTACAAAAGTAAATAATCTTGGCAAACAGATGCTACATACGGTCTTATATTAATACTAATATCAACAAATAGAAGCTACTGTACATTTACCCTGTTCAAGGTCAGAGTCATTAATCCCTGCTTATTCCTGACGTAAACGCTTCTTAAAGTTGGTCATAAAGCAAGGTAGCCATGTTCTAGGAGGGTTCAATACATTCTAAATATTTTCAGATGTGGATGACACTTCCGCGCAACAACCAGAGCAGCAGTACCATCGTTACCAATTTTATTACCACTCAATTCCAACCGTGTCAGCGATTTGTTATATTCCAAACGCTCAACCAGAGCAGCAGCACCAACATCACCAATTTTATTAGAGTTCAAATTCAACGTTGTCAGCGATGTATTATGTTTCAAACACTCACCCAGAGCAGTAGCACCAACATCACCAATTTTATTACTGCGCAAAATCAACGTTGTCAGCGATGTATTATGTTTCAAACACTCACCCAGAGCAGTAGCACCAACATCACCAATTTTATTACTGCACAAAATCAACGTTGTCAGCGATGTATTATGTTTCAAACACTCACCCAGAGCAGCAGTACCATCGTTACCAATTTCATTACCACTCAATTCCAACCGTGTCAGCGATTTGTTACATTTCAAACACTCACCCAGATCAGTAGCACCAACATTACCAATTTTATTAGAGTTCAATTCCAACGTTGTCAGCGATGTATTATGTTTCAAACACTGACCCAGAGCAGCAGCACCATCATCACCAATTTCATCACTATTCAATACCAACTCTGTCAGCTCATCGTCTATCGTTACACAATGAAATCGTTTTCACTGTCAGCAGCTATGCTATTCGCCATTAGCGGAACCAAATATTTCATCAACATTTTTTTTTCTCCTTTTTGTTGATTTCTTTCTTGATAAGCTGACAACTGTGAGATGGAATGCTGCGAAGAATTCTTGAAAAGTCTTGTGAAGAAAGCCATAACGTCTAGTTGGTCTTAGTCTGCTGCCTCCAGGCTGAACTGACAAAAATCCGAATCCAGGTAAATCGCTTGCTTTGTGTTCTCCAAGCTCCTTCTCGTCAAAATCCAAGTTGTCCTCAAGTAAACCTTTCAAAGCTATCGAACCAAGGTGTCTCAATTCGCTTTCGTAAAGTTTAACAAGGTCTTCACCGTTTTCTGGTAGTTGCTGCTTTGTTCTGTACCTTCTTAGTACACACTCCACTATTTCCATGTACAGCTTCGTTCTGCTTTCAGGAAATACACCGTTCAAATCTTCATAGACCAGGCAAAGAAGCGCAGTGTTGAGAGGATTCGTCAAAATTGCATATAACGTGTAATCAACACATAGGTGCGCAATAAGCTGCTCGGCCAATTTTGATTTGTCTCTGAAGAACTTTCTGATGAAGGAGTTTACATCTTCTTCAGTAAATCCCTCAATTTCTAGCAGCGTGTTGCAGTATATTCGAACTTTAACTCCCGCTTCGTGTCGTGCCGTAGCAATCACGCGACAGTTTGGCATGCGCGGCATTCGGCCTTGAATAATTTCTGAAAACATAGGTAGCTTCTCCTCAGAAACTTCATCCAATCCATCGAGTACCAGAAGAACATTAGATTGATTGTGGAGAATGAAGTCGAAGAATCTCTCTCGTTGGTCTTCACCAACTTCTCGAGGCAGAAGTTGATCTTCAATAGCCTCCCAAAGGCCAGACTCAAAATCACGACATTTGATCAAAAGCACTAATGCGAAGTTAGTGAAGCAATTTCCGCTTGCGTGTTTTCCTGAGGCCCAGTCGAAAACAACTTTCTTACAGTAAGTTGTCTTTCCCATACCAGGCTTCCCTTCAATTAATACTACTCTTGGTTCTTCACATTCTTCGTGCTTGTTGAAGATTTCAGACATCGTGACAACTCGGTCTGTTGCTGTTCCTCTCGTTTTCTTTCTGTAGATGACTTTAAGTCGGGTGTAGATGTCGTCAAAGGAGAAGTGAAAATCTTCACACCAGGGAAACGGTGCCAGCCAACCTTCCCGATTTTTGTAGAGTTGACGAATATTATCAATAATTCCAGTTGGGTCAAATCCATCTGAAAAAGAATCGGCTATTAGTTTTTGAGGCATTCTTAGCGTTACGCCACATAACGCCATGACTCTCGGAAAATTAAGCAATTACTAGATGATGTTGAGCACGATATCGTGAATTATCAACATCTAGGTCTGAGTTATCTGCTGAAGCCGATGGCTGTGGCACATAACACTGACGTGAAGTTTGATAATTCATGATATCATGCAAAAAGGGAATTCAATGATTGTTTTAATATACATTTTAAAAAATTCAAAATAAAACACTTCTCTCTGAGTGTAGAAAATTTTGAGAAAACTACACGTACACGTGCATCCTTTGTTGCTTCTTTTTATCAAGCTCTAGGCTGTTTCAACTGTCCTTTCAACTTTTCTACTTTTACCAGGGGGTTATTAGGTATTAGGAGTAAGTTGTGACTTCTTGAAATTTCTATTTCTTGCTGAAAAGGGGTCGATGGAACATTGACAAGTGCCAGTCGTTGCTTTTTTTAACGTCATTTGGTCTCTCAGTAATGAATTTGACCATGTGAACCAAACAGTACCAATAAGTCTCTCTCCTTAATAGATTGTTTAGAATTATAAAGTGTAATATATTAACAAACACCACCCCTTCCTCCTCTCCCCTATAAATTTTTGTGGGTTGTCTTCTAAATTCTCATGCCAAATCCCTTTCTTTCGTTTAGTCATTGCAATTATTATATCGCTGACTAACACTTCTGCATCAGCGTTTTGGCTATGGTAATTTACTAGAGTTAAACTATGAAATAAACTATTTACTTACTTTGCGGTAACTCGTCAATCTCTACGTCTTCAGGGTCTCCAACCAACTCTTGCAAATAGTTTCTCCTGTTACGACACAAGTGCAGGACTTCCAATATACTGACCATCATAAAAAAGACATCAACTGAGATAAAAGCTATATTTAAGTTTGATTTCTCCTTGTGATGAAGATCATTACATTGCAATGTTATTTTTGTCTGGTTGAGTGGACTTGGTGTGGTTTGAATGTTGATCTGCAAGATCTGATTAACATCACACTTAAAAACAGAAGGTAAAAAAAATTTCTGGTAACTGCAGACCAGCCCTAACATAGTACCCAGGAACAATATTCGAAAGAACACATGGAAGAAGTACGTGCAAAGAAATGTCTTTGTGTTTCTGTATGGTGGTCTTTTCCGAAGGATCACAGCGCCATAAATTGCAAAGATGATCCAGCATGCACACAAAACACCGAGTGTTATGGCAACAACATTCCGAGGTATTAACCCATGAGGCTTGGTAACTGTGGAAATGTAGTTGTTATAGCAACGTTGTCTGATAAAATCACTGGGTTTGGGGTCGCAGTTGAAGTTAAGTCTATCACTGTCATGATACTTTTGTAGAGTGCTAAGAATGGAACCCAGCGATGCAGCAAACAAAATACACTGAACTCCTCCAAGAGCAGTTTGCAACTTGATAATCGGTTTACAGGTATCAAACATCATTCCATAAAGTATCAGTACCTAACAAGAAGCATAAGAAAACATGAATATGAAAGCGATCTTCGCAGTCATGAACACTACTTGAGCAATAGTGAAAATAAGACCTGAAAACAATTCAGGGCTACACGGGATGGAAATAAGACCTGAATTTTTTTTCAGGCCTTATTGTCATTACTAACCGCGAACTTAAACCACTTGCCTTTTAAAACACACATTTCTTAACCTATTCTATTTTGCGAAACAAGACGAAACAAAATGAAAAGAAACTAAGCGAGTCATATAACAAAACTAAAGGAATAATGCTGTCTATTATTCAAAAGGTAAAGGTTGGAGGAAATGTTAAACATGATGAGAAGGATTTTGATACATTGCCAAAAGTAAGTAATTTAAGAAGTGTTACCATTCTGCGAGATCGACTATTTTCACCCTGCGGTGACAATGTGACCTTTTCATGTCACAAAAATGAATTTAAACATTATATGTTAGCATATTACCAAACTTATCGTATGAGACGAGAATGGCTTCATCTTTCCCGCTCAGTGAAATAGTCTATTTCGCAAAATAATAATTGTCCTAAAATTACTATTTTGGGAAATTAATTTTGTATGGATAGTGAAATGGGAGGTGACCAAGATCTTTGGGAATACAGTATATTATAATATTATTTCATAATACAATATTATAATATAATGTTTAAATGTATTTTTGTGACTCAAAAAGGAAGACATTGTTATTAAAAGGTGAAAATAGTTCATTCCGTAAAATTGTATCTCTCCTAAAATTAATCTTTGGCAAAATATATTTTAATATGGTTCAAGAAATAAGAGAAGGCCAAAATCTTTGGTAATAAACTAATTTGTAATGTTTTTGTGACATAAAAAAAGAGGTCATCACATTGTAACCCCAGGGGGAAAATAGTCGATTTCGCAAAATGGTACAGTATCGCTCACATATATGTTAACCGAAAAACGCGAATCAAACGCGCCAAAAATCGCATGTTATTGCGTATAAGAAAATCTTGCGCGTCAAAAAATCGCACGTGCGCGCACGACCTTGAAATATCGGCCTCATTAGTAAGTAAGAGGTAGTCCTTTTGTTTTTCTATTGTTGGCGGTTTATTGTTTTAAAGAATAGGCCACCATGTAGTAGCACTAAAATACTACACGGCTACCAACGACAAGAAAACTTGTTCGTTGCAATCGCCGTTCGAACCGACCCTCCCAATATGCTGTTACCAATGGGACTTCGTAATCGGAATATGTAAATGATTTATCATTTTCCTACGGAATTAATTTATCAAAATAGTCATTTCTCACTTCGTAGATAGATACATCCGTCGCAACGGCTTGGGAATTTCTTCAGAATAAATTTAGTCTCAGCGTATTGTAATTCGGTAGAATCAGCTAAGGCGCCCGTTTGTAACAGGTTGTCGCGTTCTGAATGCAAACCCACGTCCGAATACTCATTTCATAGCTTTTGTCATCGGTGAACATGCTGTTCTCGAAAACTGGTTCACTCATCTTGCCATTTATTCAAAAACTGATAAGTTCTACTCGTTTATTTTAATGGTGTTGTGTTACAGTATGATTACCTGTCACGACTACGTATTGCTCTGACTCGTATGCAAATTTTTAAGGAGAACCGTATTTGCTTTTTGTTTCGACATTTGTCAAATCATTGATCGATGTTCACCAAATTGCTCGAAAAATGGGAACGGAAAATTTTACAGCAGGATACATGTAGTTCAAGTTTCTTAAAGACTCGCCTGCGCGTGCAATGTAGGCAAAACATCAATACCATGGGTTGATGATAGATTTTAGATTTATTTCCTTCTGATCCTCATCGAAGGTGTCGAGGTAGGTTCGAAGTTTCGAAGAAATCATCAACTGCGATGCAAACACCAAATTGTTTACATTCCGTGACGTAAATATCTTAGGGAGCGCCGATTGGAATGAATAAATTTAGAAGCATATTGGTGAGTTTTTGTTTCGTTACTTGCTCGATGAAACATGTGTTTCGATGCCTTAAGTAAGTGACATTTTCCTTCCCAGCTGATTCATCAACAACTCAAATCAAGCAAATCTACTGCTACTGCTCGCTATTCAATAAATTCGCGAAGCGACGCGACATGCGTGAGTGTAACATGATAGCTTTTTTATGATATAAATTTTCCGTTGTCTACTCGCCGCTCTTTCAAACCTAAAAGTTCCCTGTTTCACTCAACAATGTAATACAAAGGAAACTTGTAGCACTGAATAACAAAGGCACTTGAGTCGCGCATTTATTTCGACCGTGTGCATATGAGCGTATTAAATTTGAAAAGTTCAGCGAATCCAACCAAATTCGGCAAAATAATAACAAATAGGTGAATCAGCATAAAAAAACCATTGAATGTGGTAATATCAAGAGGAACTATGAGCTCCAATTCGCAAAATACGCTTACCTGTTCAGCAAACATGCGAAAGGTGCTGACCGAAGCACATCTAAACCATATGTCTTTTAAAACACAAATTTCATAGCTAGTAGGCGAGCGAATCCAGCCAAATTCGACAAAATAATACCGACGAAGCGAATCAGTATCAAAAACTACCGAATATAGTGACATCAAGAGTAACTATGAGCTCCGATTCGAAAAATACAAGTACCTTCTCAACAAGCATGTGAAAAGTGATGGCCGGAGCACTAATTCAAGAATATTTAAACGATATGTCTTTTAAAACACATATTTCATAGATAGTAGCTGAGCGAACCCATCTAAATTCGACAAATTGATAAAGAATAGGTGAATCAACATCAAAAGCTGTTGAATATAGTGATATCAATGGTAAATATGAGCTCCAATCCGAAAAATACTAGAATCTCTTCAACAAACAAGCGAAAGGTGCTGACTGAAGCACTACGCCACAGGGGTTTAAGACAAGTCCCTTCCTTGTAATGACATGAATCAAGTTGAAAAGTATGTATATGGTAAACAAATGACTTTACCTTAGCGACAATCGTCCGCTTACAAACGTCAAACAAGGTTTTCGAAATAGACATCAACCACTCCCTGCCCCCTGAGCCATGTTGGAGACTTCTGTAGCAATGGTTTTCGGGTGCGGTTTAAAGGGAGAACCGAAAGTACCTTATTAAATATTCAAAACACTGACGTCAGACGACGTTTCCGAAGAGTGTTGAGAAAATATTTAATGCGGCGGCCGAAATTTATGTTTATTTGAGATATTTTTGGTAATACATATAACAGCGTAATATGTGACTAACACAGTCTATATACTGTAACATTTTACGCCACTAACTCAGTCGGTAGATTAATTATAATGAATTGATATATAGTTGAAATATGTTACTGGCGTAAAATCTTACATATATAAATATCACCGACTGGAATAAAATTACGTCGTTATTTACTGGCGTAAAATCTTACATATATAAATATCACCGACAGGGAGAAATTACGCCGTTAGTTACTGGCGTAAAATCTTCCATATAAAGAATACCGACTGGAAAAAATTACG